AGAGCCCCACGCACTCCCCGTCCCGCCCGGCTCCGCTCGCACACCTCTTCTCCCTGGCTGGAGCTCCGCGCTCGCGCCCCCGCGCACCAGCGCCTGCCCGGCAGCTCTGTGGCCCGTGGCCGCCAGGCTCAGCGCCGCCTCCCCACAGGCAGCGGGCGGGCGCTGCTGGAGGAGGTGCTGGAGCCCCCGGGCCTCGCTCTCCTCCTGCGCCTGCTGCCGGCGCAGCGCCACCTGCGCGGCCATGACCCGCTGGCGCTCGGCGATCAGCGCGCATTTGGCGCAGGCACAGTCCCGCCAGCGACAGAAGTGTTTGTGGCCCTTGAGCGTGGACACCACGCCGTGGTTGCGGCAGCGGGCGCACTTCGGGGTGCAGCCAGAGCGCCGGGGGGAGGGTGGCAAGCCCGGCCGGGGCTCGCCGCTCTCCCCCCGGCAGCCAGAGCGCCGGGAGCAGGGCGGAGAGCCCGGCCGGGCCCCGCTCTCCCCGACCGGCCGGAGCGCCGCGGGGAGGGCGGCGAGCCCAGTCGCGGCCCCGCTCTGGGGCCGGAGCGCCCCGCCGTGCCGCCCCCCTCCAGGCGCCGCCCCAAGCACATGCTTGGTGGGCTGGTGCCTGGAGCCGGCCCTGCTGAGGGCCACATCGGGTTTCGGAAATTGTATGGAGGGATGGTTAGGGGAGCCTGTGCCTCCCCAAACAGCCAGGCGTGGCCCGGCCCTGCCCCCCCCCCCACCCCCCCCCCCCATCCACCCCCCCCTTCTCCCTGTCCTCTGATTGCCCCCGGAACTCCTGCCCCTGACTGCCCCCTGGCCCACCATCCAACTCCCCCTCTCCTTCCTGACTGCCCCCCTGGGACTCCTGCCCCTATTCAACCCATTCCCCGCCCTCTGACCGCCCCGACCCCTATCCACACCCTCACCCCTGACCACCACCCTGAACTCCCCTGCCCTCTATCCAACCCCCCCGCTCCCTGCCCCCTTACCACGCTGCCTGGAGCACTGGTGGCTGGCGGCACTACAGCCACGCACCACGCAGCACAGAGACTGGGTCAGGCCCGGCTCTGCAGCTGCGCTACCCCAGGAGCTCGCAGCCTGCCACCCAGAGCATTGCGCTGGAGGCACAGTGAGCTGAGGCTGCAGGGGAAGAGGAACAGTGGGGGAGGGACCATGGTTGAGCTTCCCAGGCCAGGAGCTCAGGGGCCGGGCAGGAGGGTCCCGCGGGCCGCATGTGGCTCGCGGGCCGTAGTTTGCCCACCTCTGTTTTATAGCATATTGGCGGGTCTTCAGAAAGAAAAAGGTTGAGAGCCCCTGGAGTAGATGACCTCTTGAGGTCCCTTTCAGCCCTGCATTTCTATGATTCTATGATATTTTAATTAGTTGGAAAATGCTGGAGGCCAGATCCCCAACTGGTGTAAGTCTGTGTCTCTCCACTGACGTCAACAGGCCTATTCTGATTTACACCAGCTAAGGATCTGGCCCTGTACCTAAAAATCTTATTTAAAACATTCTTCCATTATATAATTTGACATTATATTGAATGAAGAGTAGAAGTGAAAAAGAAATGGGAAATGCCCTTTTTATTTGTTTGTCAGATGCATCCTGCATCCAGCCATCTCTGATCAACTTATATCCTGCATGGGGCCCACAAATGTCCTGTTGACTAGGGCACCCTGCTTTCCTGAAGGTGCATGGTGAGAATTTGCCTCACTAGTACACCCCATTCCCTTACTTGCCCTGTTTTGGCCCCACTGGGTGACTGGTTACCTCATGCCTTTGTGAGGGAGTGACGGGCACGGGCAAGAATGTTCTTTCATAGTGTCAGCACGGAGGAGCCAGCTGTGTGTCCAATTTTTGGACCACGTTCAATGTTGATGTCAGTGGAGAGCAACGCAGAGGTTAAGGAGGTGAGAAGGGCTTGGGTTTTTCACTATGTTGACATACACCAGCCCTCACGCTCCAACACCCTGAGCCTACAAGGTTGTGAGTACATGTCTCAGATGAGAGGTTTTTATCCTTAGCCTCCTCCATATTGAAAGGGGGTAAGGAAATGCCTTAACCCAGCTTTACTTTAAGCCAGGAGGTCCCAGGGGGAAAGAGGTGTTTCTCTTAAACTGGAGTGATACTCTGAGCGAGGTCCTGCCCTCGTGTGCTGCAGATCCATAGATACCCACAAATACAGCACATTCAGTTGTGGAGTAAGACTCTCCTTGGGGGTTATGTTCCATCAACTGTGCACTGGGATTTTGTGCAGGGGAGAAGGGGCAGTCACAGTCTGGTCAAAACTGGACCCTGACTCACTACACTGAGCACAGTTTAGTTTTGTGCATAGTGATAAAAAGGTTTTGAAGGGGATATGGGCTGCCATGGAGCAGCACTGCAGTTCTGGAGAGGGGAAGGACCAGAATTAGCGCTGATGACATTTGAGTTTCCATCTGGCTCAGAGCTGCTCCTCCTCAAGAATCTCTGTCCACCCCTTTCACATGTGACAGAGGCTGAGAATGGCAACCAAAAACTTTATGTTGCTAAAAAATTTCTGCTTCAAACCCATGGCCATTCCCACCTGACATGCTCATAACTGGCAGAATGGCCCTGCGGAGGCCATATGTATGAGAACCCAAGTCAGTGCACATGCGCACTCTCTCCTGTCCTGTGTTTATTGCTTTTTAGCAAGAGAAACAAAAGTGGGATCCATGTTCTGTGCAGAAAGAAGCAGTGTGGCCCCCACTGGCTGTGGCTCTCAGCTACATCTCAGATGTTTCATTAGAAGACCACTTCTTAAGATCTACTCTTGGACACTTTTCCCAACAGCCTGCTCATCCCAATCCCTTGCCTTCCCTGCAGCTGCAGTAGCGCTTGGCTACTTGAAAAAGCAATATTAGGAGATAAGCTGAAAACAAACTCACTAGAACGATGGGTGGTGAGGCTGTTACATCTCCCTAGTTGTATCTGATCTGTTTATTTCCTGTCCTCTGGGGCAGGACATTACAATCCTTGGTACCAAATCTCCCTTCATCATCTGCAACCCCCCACAGCTCTACTATCTCCAGGTTCCTCTGCAGTTTGCTTCTATATGCTTGTATGTTTGCCCTTCCTCCAATTTTGGAGTCATCCACAAATGTGGTCCTGCTTGAATGTATTCCAAAGAAACACAGGAGTCTCTAGGAACACTGAAAGAAACTCGGTCTGCGCTACAAGAGACATCACTGCCTGAAGACTGACAGATGGTTCAACATTGCACCTGCCTGAAGTGGCAAGTGCCACAGCCTGAGAACCACTGAACTCAATGATCTCTAGTTCCCGTGGTCAAGTTGGAGCTGTTAAGAGGTACATTTAAGACACCTGTTGGGCAAAACCCAGTGGATTTGTCCTTAATTAGGGAGTGTGGGAATATCAGAAAGAAAGTTCTGTGACATCACAAGGAAAGAAACCAACTTTCTGTATGGTTTAAATGCCTGCACAAACTGTAGGAACACTCCCTTGGGTGTGGGATAATGTGCAGTGTTTGTGTCATCTAGTTGTCTAAACACTATGGATAAAATTCTGCTCCTGTTAAATGACTGATTCTCTTTAGGTGAATGGACTTGCTCCAGATTTACACCTGTGAAACTGAGAGCAGACTTTTGGTCCCATGTGCCCACCTGAAGCAGAGCTTACTGTTATCCCATGCAGTAGTCACTTCCCCAGAGCAGCATAAGCCACTAAGTTGTCTGTCCAAAGGTGACCTCATTCAGGGCTGGCCTTCTAATTTGCAGGGTGGAAGAGGGGGTGTGGTGGTGGGAAATCATGCCATGTTTGCTTGCTTCCCTTCTGGTCCTGATGCTGGAAGGGGTCAGGGATCTGGCTTGTAATACTCCCGTGGCGCCGCTGGCAGAGAGGGAGAGCTAGGTCGAATGCATGATGAGCCCTCCAAAAAGAGCCGGGTCACAAGCGACCATTGCTTGGCTGGCCCATATCTCTCTGCAAAACAGCAGTGTGTGAAAAGCACCAGGTTCCCCTGCTTTCCAAAACAAGTGCCTGCAGCAGCTCCCAGTGGTCGCCCAGCAGCCTCTGCAGGATTCTCTGACACCTCTGTTTTCGTGTTAACCCTTTCAGTGCTCTCCAGCACATGGAATGTGCCCGGGAGGGCCATGCAGCCAGACGCAAGCTCGGCCAGCAGAGACCTAGCTAGGCCCGGCAGAGGTGCCATATATTGCCCTGACGGGTCCATCTTTGAGCTGCTGCAAGTCCCGTCAACAGGGAAAGGGTTGAGTGCAGGTGAGGGCTGGGCATTAGGACCCAGCGGGCCCCTCGGCGCAGGCGGGGGGCTGTCAATCAGGGAGCGTAGGGAAAGTGACAGCGGTGGGCAGTTCCAGCTGACACCTCGCGCTGGCAAGGGGGATATTTAATTTGGGCTCGCGCGGGGCGCTCGGCAGTGCGCGGCGGCCGTGCAGCGCAGAGCGGAGCGGGCACGTGGGTCCCAGCGCTCCGCAGGGCACAGCAGCCGCAGCCAGGCGGGCAAAGGGAGCCAGGCTGCCAGTGCCGCAGGATCGGAGTCCGGGCAGGGCTCCTCCGCCAGGACCGCCCGCGCAGCCTGCACCCCCCCCCCCGCCCCTGCGCTGCCCGCGGCTTCCTCCTAGTGCACAGAGCGTGCGTTGAAGTGACCGAGGCACCCCGCAGACGGGCGGGGGAATGGGCAGCTCCTCTGGAGCCTGGGCTCGCTGAGGGCTGGGGCTCGCCACGGGCTGTTCGCAGAGCAGGGGGTGCTCTGGCCTCCACTACACAGCCCCTCCCGAGAGCTGCTGCTTCATGCGACCCGCGCTGCCCTCACCGGGCAGGGAGCCCCCGAGGACGCCGCCGGGTCCCTAGTGCGCGGCGCGGAGCACCAGCCTGCGTCCTGCCCGGGCCTGGGCAGCGGGGGATTTACAGCCCGGAGCCGGGTGCGGACCTGTAGTGGGCGGGCGAGCGACTCGCTTGGAGGATGAGCCCGGGGAGAACCCTCGGGATCTAAGTCCAGCTTCCTGAGCCCCGGAGCCGCCCGGCACAAGGCGAGCCCAGCCATGGGACCGAGCTCCGCGCCGCTCGCCCGGTGCTGCGTGTCCGCCTGAGGAAGCGCCCTGCTCCGATCGCGGGACGGGGAAGGGAAAAGTGGGGAGCCCCCCTCAGAGCTGCAGCTGTTAGTGCGTGTGCAGGACTCTCCCCTCCCCCTCGCTGCCGCCGGCCGGACCCTTTGCCCAGCTCCCCGTCTATAAAGAGGGGTTTATTCTTGGGCTCCAGTCTCACGCCAAACCCTGTCCCAGCGTCTAGACAAGCTGTCGTGGCTCTAAGTCCAGCTGTCACCATGGGGATGGAGCCGGGGCCGCTGTGAATCTTGTGGAGCCAGAGCGGAGGGAGGGAGCTAGCCGCGGAGGGGGAAAGACGCCGTGGCCCTTCGGAAGGCTGCTCGCAGGGGCGCAGGGCTGCTCGCCCGGCTGCGGCAGCGGGGAGCCGCCGATGCTGAGTCCCAGCAGCCCCGGGGGAGCTATTTAAAGCGACGGGCCTCGCTGGACTTTGTCTCGGCCTATTTATGACTCCCCTGGACTTGGCAAGGGGCAGCGCGGGGCAGTAGCGAGAGCTCGGAAACCATCCCGGGGCGAGTCCCGGCCGCCGCCCGGGGCCTGTCTGCGCCGGCGGGAGCATGAAGGGGCCGCAGACTCTCCTGCTCTGGGCCGGCTGGCTGCTGCTGCAGCGCGGCTCCGGCCAGCCCTACCTCCGCCTCCGGCCCTCCCCGAGCGATAACCTGCCCGTCAAGGACATCCTGGAGCACCCGGACCCCGAGTACGACCCCAAGGAGCAGGACCTGGACGAGCGGACGCTGAGAAAGAAGCTGGGCAGCAGCTTCGACCCCGCGTTCATGTCGGTGGCCGCCCCGGCGCCGGGGAACCTCTCCAGCCCGGCGCCCCCGCCCAGGCTCAGGGGCTCGGCGCCGCTGCCCGGGGAGCTGAAGAAGCTGGAGCTGGGCGAGAGCCCCTTGGGGCCCCGCATGAAGCTGGGCAAGAAGGCCCGGAGGAAGTTCCTGCAGTGGCTGTGGGCCTACACCCACTGCCCCGTGCGCTACACCTGGAAGGACCTGGGCGTCCGCTTCTGGCCGCGCTACATCAAGGAGGGCAGCTGCTTCGCCGAGAAGTCGTGCTCCTTCCCCGAGGGCATGTACTGCAAGCCGGCCAAGTCGGTGCCCAAGACCTTTCTGCGCTGGTACTGCCAAGGCTGGTCCAGGCAGAAGTACTGCACCTGGATCCCGGTCCAGTACCCGCTGATCTCGGAGTGCAAGTGCTCCTGCTAAGCCGGGCTGGGGAGCCGCTTCCGCCGCGCTGGGCGTGCCCCTGCTTGGAGAGCCAGGCTCCTGAACAGACTCACCGGGATCCCAACTGTAGCGAGGGGGGCGGTCTCCATTGCCCTGGATCCCAACCCCGTTGCATGGGGAATCTCAGAGGATCGGTGCACCAGGAGGCATCATCCAGCTCAGTACCTAGCTGTCTCTCGCAGTGCAACTCGTCCCCCTTCCCCCCGTTCCTCCCTTCCACCGAGACCCTGAGACTGAAAGGACACACACAAAGATGGACACACGCTCACAAGAGGATCTGTTTGTGCGTTTCTCTCCCCTTATTACATCCCTTGCACTGTTTATGACTTATTTTATTTTAAATGGGAAAAGCAAAACTGAAAAGGAACTGCAGTGCAGGCCAGAGGCAAAGCTAAGCACTACAATCAGATGTTTATTTTTATACTTATATAGCGTTCTAACAAAACAAAACAGAGAGAGAGAGAGAGAGAGTTACCAGCCTTGTAAATATAGAGATTTTAAAAAGAAGGGGAAAATTGCAGCTGTTTATTATTATTATTTTATTATTATTATTATTATTATTATTTTAAAGACATAGGACCACATTTTAAATCCATCCCACTAAAATCTGAGTACTTCCCTGCAAAAGGGAAGGGGGAAATTTCCAGTCAAGATGATTCAACAAAAAACCAACACAGAAGCCCTTGAAGATGTTAATTTCTATTTGTTGTATTTTTGTCTTCTACAAATGTTTCAACTAATCTGCAAAGCTCTCTACGTTTTTAAAAAGTGTTTACTGATTAATTACAAAGGAGATTTTTTTTAAAGTACAAAGTTATGAAAGAGTGGAGTCTGTTTTGTTGGTTTTGGAATACATATAGTAATGTAGAGATGTTAAAAGAAATTTTCTGTGTACAGTTTATTTATTTTTAATGTTTATGTATAAAAAAAGCTAGAGATTATGCCAGAAAATATTGGAAATGTTTACTTGAATATTCCTTTAAAAACATATCAGTGTAAATATGAACTATGACTGATCAAAACATTTTTAGCAATAAACTCTATCTCTGAAGAAACACTTACTGATGCACTACAGAGTTCTGGGAAAGGAGATTATGGTGCTAGGTTTCTTGGAGCCAGATCCTGAGCTGGTGTAGCTCAGTATTGCTCCACTGAAGTCAAGAGACTTGCACCACTTTACACCGGTTGAGGATCAGGCTCTGGTTTTATTTAAATTCTGCACCTGGTGGGGAGATGGAGGACAGAAGAGAGGGATAAATGGCTCATAAGGGATAAAATAATTGAAATGTTTTGGGAAGGGAGCAATTGTCTAGTATCTGCATGAGTTTTTCTTCCTTCTTCACTGTGCCTTGTCAGGGTCTCTCTCTTACTCTGTGTCACTAGGATTCCAAGTTTCAGATTTCTCAGATTCTCAGTGGTGGAGGAAGGGGTAGAGGTTATCGCCTGAGCCATTAAAATGCCTGGCAAAATTCAAAAGCCCATGTGTTAGAGCAAATGTTGTAGCTGTTGCTAGTCATTAGCAGGGGAGGGAAGGAGTGGGGGTTGCTCTGGGCCTTGGAGGAATAACCCGAGTGGGGTGGGAACTGGGAATTCTCTCCCCAGTGGAATGTGTCATTTGCCATTGAGTCAGGAGGAAGAGGAACATTCTTGGGGGATTGACCTGGCAGAGGTGCTGAGTGCCTTCAGCTCCCACTGAAGTCACCATTTGGCCCAATCCTGCCAGGGGGTGAGCAGGATGCCCTACTCTCCCTCAGATGGTGCTCAGCTCCTTGTAGGATCATCAGCCTCCAGATGGCCGGTTGCGGGCGGAGTGGTGTTGGCATGATCCTGTGAGGTGCTCAAGTGAGTGGAAGTTGAGGGAGCTCAGCACTTTGCAAACTTGGGCCCTGAGGGGCCTACTCCTGCTCCTATTGAAATCAATGGGAGTTCTGCCTTTGGGCTCAGGATCTGGTCCTAACAGGGCTGCCACATTGGAAGAGGGGGGAAAAGGAAAAGGGGAAAGCTGGTGGCAGGATCTGGACTGCAACTGCATGCATGGAGTAGTCTGCAGATGGTGGTGGTGATGGAGGCATCTTCCCCAGTTCTTTGAAATCCTTCTCATCCTGGGACATAGAGTACATTGAAAAGAAAAAAAAAAAAAAAAAAGCTCTTTGGAAAACTCTTGGTCAGTGAGGAGTAAAACTCACTCCCTAGTTCAGCCATGTCAGCGGTGTGCAGAGATGCTGATGGTGAACTCCAGCAAAGGCAGGGAAAGCTCTGATCACCATCCGTCTGAGCAAAGTGCATTGGGATGGTGGGCAAATGGCAGCCGGCCTGAGTCAGAGGCCATTGAAGTCAGTGGAAAGACTCCCAGGAACTTCTGTGGGGTTTGGATCAGGCCCATCAAGCTTTATAGAAACCACCTCCAGCCAGTGCTTGGCTCCTCTGGTGGGGGTAGAGCGCCTGCCAAGCTTCCTTGGGGCCAACGCTACTCGTGGAGGGACTGGATTCAGATTTTAGTAAAACACAGGCTAAATTTGGAATAGGTGCAAATTACTGCAGAAGGGAGTGTGTTTCCAAAGGGATAATGATTTTAGCACTTGACATCTTCCAGGAGCCGTGTAAACAGTAACTCACTCATGGGAGGGGAAACCGGTTGGCCTTCCCCCCCGCCCCTCCCAGATACCCAGTCTCTTTCAAGGGAGCAGAAAAATAACACTTCTAGTGCAACTTGCAAAACATCCGGGGTGTTTGGCAAAGGAATGGGTCAGCTCATCTTGCAAGAAGAACGACATCTGTGGTGTGGACACCGAACATCTGTAGGAGGCCTTTTGCCCGGGTGTGGGGGTGGGGCGTGGGGGAGGGTATTCTGGGAAAATATTTTGGACATAATCCCAACAGTATCTGGTGTGTTGGGATTTGGTTACAAATGGCCCTTTAACATCTTAGTGCGTTTTGTTCTGCAGATTCCAGGGGTATGTGGAGACCCTGCTTTGTGCTAACCTGGGAAATAAACCATTCCCCGGACTCAGTGGCTGAATATAGTTGTGGGGGAAGGGAAAAGGGGGTGATTTTTTGTGTGTGTCCTAATTGCAGAGGATAAAACAGCCTAAAAGCCTCCATGCTGTGCAACTGGAGGGGTCGCCTCAGTCCCGAGATCAGGAACATACTCCCGATACAAGGGAGTCAGGGCCAAATGTCTGCAGCTTCTGCTTCAGTCTTTAAGTTTAACCAGATGTGGGGGGAGAATAAGGGGACCTACCCCACCAGACAACATTTGACTCCCTCATTCATGTCCCTCTGAGAGGGGCTGCAAGAAAATGCATTCTCACTCCTGATCTCCCCTGCCAATCCCCATTGCTCAAATGCCCCTATTATTTTCTGATGAAGGTTTTGCCACTGTGTTACCAAGAGTGGTTTCAGCAGCTAAGGAAAGGCTGTGAATGTAGAAATGTGACATTCGTGGAACTGGGGATGGGGATGTGTGCAGAAGGCAGGATGATTAACCAATCTTCTTATATCGGGGGGTAGCCGTGTTAGTCTGTATCCACAAAAACAACAAGGAGTCTGGTGGCACCTTAAAGACTAACAGATTTATTTGGGCATAAGCTTTCGTGGGTAAAAAAACCATTTCTTCACATGCATCTGAAGAAGTGTTTTTTTACCCATGAAAGCTTATGCCCAAATAAATCTGTCAGTCTTCTTATCTCTCCTTGGCATCAGAAGGAGTTTTGGGTGGCATGAGAGATGGACGGGAATAAGGCCTAGTTTTTAGTATATCTGCTTGCAATTAGGGGACAGGCAGTGTGTAAAATCTTTCTCATGCCTCTATTGGTCCAATGTACAGGACACCAAACTTTGAGATCTGGCTCCTTTCCCCCAGCTCTGCCAGTAACTTGATGAGTGATGTGGGCCAGCTCTGTCCCTCAGTTTCCACATGTGTAGTGCTTTGAGATCTAAGCAAATGCCTCTTCATCCTTGCTGTCCCTTTTGCTTATAGACAGGTACATTTCAGCATGGGCATAGGAACACTTAGTCGTGTCTGGGAACACACACACTTGGGAACCACGGTCATAGCTTGGCACTTGCATTTATGGCCCATGATTAGTCCACATTGCCCTCAGACCCCCTCCGTTTCCCCTCCATGAATTGCCTATAGGCCCTGTGCATTTGGTCTTCCAGACTCTGCTGCAACCCTTCATTTTCTCCACCCTCCACCCCTATGCACTGTTCTAATATGCAGGCCTGTTTAGGGTGAAAGGAACTTGATGAATATGTAGTGTGATTTCAAAGTGTGTTTTCTGCAGCAGCAGCAATAACAACAAAGAGTTTGAGGGGGAGCCCTGGCCTTTTGGCTCACTCCGATGGTGAAGTCTCTGGGGTTTTGGAAGCCCCTTACTAACTCAGAGGCGCCACTTAGCCGACAGAACAGGATGAGGTGGTTAGCTAGAGGATCAGCAGCTTAACCCTTTCTTACATAGAGGGGGAAAGACTGTGAGTGACTGGGAGAGGCTGTTGTGGGCATGCCAAACACCCTTTTCCAATAGTATTCCCTGAAAATCACAGCTCAAAACAGTGCTAAACTTATGTATGTTTATAAAGATCTCTCTTGTACAGGAGCCTTATGTCAGGGTACTTCTGCCTGCCCTCACCAGGGGAGTGGTAAAGTTCTCTCTTCTAACCAGAGTCCCCAGATCAAGACATTCCCTGCCAGCTGACAGTCCCTCTTGTTAAAGCAGCCTTGGATCTGGATGGTTGCTGCTATTTCACCTTGGGATCTGGATACAGTTCTCCTGTGTTGAGAAACCTTTCTTTTAAACTCACATTTGACTTTCACACCAGTTCTGCAGTGCGTGGCTGTTAAACTGTTTTCTATCCAATGCCAAAGAGGTTATTTTCTCCCCTTTGCCTTTGTTTGCTCCACCATTAGCCCAAGACCTCGTGTCTTGGACTTTGCTAGCTCAGGTCAGTGTGACGCCAGAACATGGTACCCTGGCCCATCCTCTTCAGTTAATGCTGTTTCACCAGTAAACCACACTGGGTGGGTTTTAGGTTGACCCAGTTTTCCACGTTACACTCATCCTCTGTCCCCAGTGAACCAGCCTCTCAGGTCCAGGGCCCAAGGTTTTTAGTGTCAGCACACGTCATGTGACTGAAGCCCAGTTATAATGTAAAACAGTGGTCTCCAAAGTGGGATGCGCAGCAGGAGGAGCGCCACCGGAGCAGAGCCGCTTTTTCTTTTTTTTCCCTTCGGCAGTTCGGCTGGGAGTCCAAGCGGCTTTTTTTTTTTTCCCCCCCCTCAGCAGTTCGGCTGGGAGTCCGAGCAACTTTTTTTTTTTGCTTCGATAGTTCGGCTGGGAGCAGGGGGTGCGCGATCAAAAAAGTTTGGAGACCACTGATGTAAAACAATAGCTCAGCTTTAAGACAGGTGAGTGAACTAGACTGAAGAAAATAATCTCCATGAATCTCTATCTGAAA